ATCTAGTGATCATTCAATAGTGCTTTCATCAATGATAAACACTCCAGCGACTGTGGGGTTTATTGCAAGTGGTGAATGTGGAAAAATCTGTGCCTTTAGTTATTCAGGATACTGTTGATAAGAAAGGAGTCCAGTAGTCCAGGAGACCCATCTTCCTCTTAAGGGACTCGGCATCTCAGGGGGTGGTGGACGGGGCAGATGGAAGTACACCTTCACGGAGTTGTAGATGAAACACTGTAGAGCGGTCAGTGTGCCAATCATAATGATTCGAGCAAAAAGACCCTTCCACACACCTGTGGGAAAAACGTTGCTCATATGAACATACATTACACACATATAGACCTGTTACTAAGCAGTGCTAATCTACCCCTTAGATCTCATGACACTTAAACATGCCAATAATTAATCATCCGAGATAAAAGAGCAAAATGAATGGGTCATTTTGAATTTCTAATGAGATCCCTATGATACTGAGCTGATCTAATGAGAATAAATCCAGGAACAACAGCATCCTCTTTTGGTAATAAAGAGTATTACATCCCTCTGCAACCTCAGTGAAATGGTGCTTCAAGGTCTAAAGTTTTTTTTATGAGCAATATAATAACAATAACCATGTATTTTAACAAATAAAATCAATCAATCAATCAATCAATCAATTTGATGGGGGAATTAACAATATTATACAAAGACATGCTTGAGATACATGCCTAAACAATCTGAACAGTGTTGCTCATATGAACATACATTACACACATATAGACCTGTTACTAAGCAGTGCTAATCTACCCCTTAGATCTCATGACACTTAAACATGCCAATAATTAATCATCCGAGATAAAAGAGCAAAATGAATGGGTCATTTTGAATTTCTAATGAGATCCCTATGATACTGAGCTGATCTAATGAGAATAAATCCAGGAACAACAGCATCCTCTTTTGGTAATAAAGAGTATTACATCCCTCTGCAACCTCAGTGAAATGGTGCTTCAAGGTCTAAAGTTTTTTTTATGAGCAATATAATAACAATAACCAACCATGTATTTTAACAAATAAAATCAATCAATCAATCAATCAATTTGATGGGGGAATTAACAATATTATACAAAGACATGCTTGAGATACATGCCTAAACAATCTGAACAGCTTTCTGTTTTTTTGAGGGCAAAATTGATTCAGAATAATGTTTTACTTATTTTTTAAAATATATATCTCAATGTTTAATTATAAAATCAAGTACATTTTGCTAAACATGAATCAATCAATCAATCTACCACAGGGAAGTCTTTTGACATAAATCGCAAATGCTACAGTTTACATCTGTATCGTTTTTTTAATTTAACAAGATAATGTTTAAATATGTATATGATATGAAATAGTCTAAAAGTTGCTTATTTAATATTGTTTGTCATAAAATAAAGATCAGGCAAATAACAAACGTTTTTCAGTTGAAATCATCCACAAATTGAATGTTTTCTTGGAACAGAGCTCCTATTGACCCGCTACTAATGTGACCGGAATGACGACAGAAAAACATATTTCACCGACAAATATCTAAAGTGACAAAGTATAATAATTGCTTTTAATGTACTTGATTTTGCTTGGTCAGTCGTGATATTCTGTGGTGAAATATTATTTTATAATGGTTATTAAAATATAAAATAAATTACAGTTTTCTCCTAGCCACTCCAGTCTTTTCTTCTTACGGTAATAAAATAATTCCAATTCAAATCAGTATTTTATGTTTATGAATGTATTTATTTGGTAAGTAATCATGTGATAAGCAAGACAGTGTACAGTATATGCTGGACATTATGGCAAAACAAACCCCTCAGTTTTTTTTCTTTGTTATTTGATCATCAGCAGTTGACTGTTAAGTGTTATATACAGTGGTGTGAAAAAATGTTGCCCCCTTTCCTGATTTCTTATTTTTTTTGCATGAGGACAATGATCCAAAACACACCAGCAAGTCCACCTCTGAATGGCTGAAGAAAAACAAAATGAATCCTATTGAGATGCTCGAAAACCCTCCAATGTGGCTGAATTACAACAATTCTGCATAGATGAGTGGACCAAAATTCCTCCACAGCGCTGTAACAGACTCATTGCAAGTTATCGCAAACGCTTGATTGCAGTTGTTGCTGCTAAGGGTGGCCCAACCAGTTATTAGGTTTAGGGGCAAACACTTTTTCACACAGGGCCATGTAGTTTTGGATTTTGTTTTCCCTTAATAATAAAAACCTTCATTTAAAAACTGCATGTTGTGTTCACTTGTGTTATCTTTTACTAATATTTAAATTAGTTTGATGATCTGAAACATTAAAGTGTGACAAACATGCAAAAAAATAAGAAATCAGGAAGGGGGCCAACACTTTTTCACACCACTGTATATGCATATGCAGTGACTCACCTGCGGGTCCCAGCCTTTTCACCACCTCAACAGCTGAACTGCCTTTCTCTTTATTCAGTACGGACACCACAGAGTCAGCGGGATGCGACACCACAGCACAGAACACTCCAGCTGAGGACAGACATACAACACAGCTTAGAAGTATCTACATCATTCGATGCAAACTTGAGCCGGCACTCTTTACAGAGACATATCATGCTAAAAGGTACGTCACGTTTGGAGCACTCACTGCGTGGTTTTGGTACTATGTACTTGTACAGCGTCTCCACGGTTCGCTCGAAACAGGCAAACGTCATCATGGTGTAGGGGATCTGCCTCAGCCACAAGGGATAAACACCTTTATAGAACCTGCACAGACAATAACACCCACAATTAAGACTCCAGCAGAGTCCTCTCAAGGGCCTCATGGGTACACTCTTAAAAATAAAGGGTCCAAAAGAGGCTTTTCACAGCCATGACAATTTTGGGTTCCCCCAAAAACAGTGAACGAATCTTAAAATGAGTATTTTTTTGCTAGTGTGGAGATTTTAATAATCTAAAACATGTTTTTCCAAGCACCTGGAAAGGTTTAATGAATATTACATTTCCTTCATATAACTATTGATACTGATTAAATAAGTTAACCTTTATTTTTAAGAGTGTAATGCAGTCCACGACCATTTGGTATAGTTTGGTCAGCCTTAACCCTCTAGTGGTCTTTGGCCATTTCACAGAGCACAAGAAAAATTTAATTTTACATTTTTAAATTTTTTCGATTTTGAAATGGTACGAAATTAGATTTTTGTAGCACTTGACAACTTAAAAAAGACAGGTTAAAGGGTCACTTGTGATTTTCTTGGGCAAAAATTATGTCAGGAAATTAATTGGAAATATGAAAATACAGAGCAATTTTTTGTGTCATAATCTACTGTACAAATCAGCCACGATGATGCAGTCTTTGATAATGCCTATATACACATTCAAACACAAAACTTAATAAACAAACAATTATATCTGAAAATACTCTTATAAGCAAATAGGGCATACACAGAGCTATGTATAAATTATATATAGAACAATATTTTTTTATACACTATATAGCCCTATATATACACATTTAGAAAATACTTTTGCTTAATTTTAACTTCATGTATTAATTGGAAAAAATATTACATTTGTTTAGCATTATTTGATATAGAAATAAATGGTGTATAATTTAGAGGTAAATATGGTCTAGTACCATGAAATACTTATTAAAGAATAAATATTACTGAAAACGAAATATAGCATTCATTTAATTAACAAAAAAAAAAATCTTATTTGGTCTCTTTAGACCTCTGAGGATTGTAAGTGTGACCCCTAAGTGAGAAATACCAGAGGGTTAAGTATCTACTCACGCTTTTAGCCCCTCCTCAGCATGCATTTTGGGGGCGCACTCTCATGGGGGTGTTAGCATAGCCGGGCTGCGTCTGGATGCGCACTTTGCATGCTTCTATAGGAGCCAATGCAATATCGGCGAAAAAATTCAGTGCTGGCAGATGCGGCTAGATACACTGATGTCCTCCACAAATAAGCATTCTCCTGCTCACCAGACCAAAACAAACAACAGCAGTGATCATAAACAAATATGCAAAAATAGGTGTTCTGGGACAGTCTTTGCAGATCTTCATTGTATCTCGAAAGTAGAGACTCACCTCTCCAAGCATGTCATTGTACAGGGCCTTAAAGACTTCATAGAAACCGAACTTGCAAAGGCCTTGCATGGAGTAACCAATGAATGTAGGAGCCCACCCTTTGCCCAGACCCCTAAAGCCATCCTCTCTCAGGGTCACTGAGAAACCATTGAAGATGGACTTGTACTTAACCGGGTTCACCTGGAAGAAAACAGGCATTTCCCAAAGTCTGGCTACAAACTCAAGTCAAAACAAGTAGGTAACTTCTTTAGTTTTTACACATATAGTTTTAATGTTACATTAGAGAAGCAAAACAAACACCTGTATGCAGCATTTAATGAGGTCGAGGGGCACGACTGCTGTGTGTGAGACCACAGCTCAAAACCCCACCGAAACCGCAGAAGGCGTAATATTTATTTGACCCATATTCTCACATCTGCATCTGAGGGACAAAAGCACATATTTAACATCACAAAAATCAACACTGTCTGTGTGTGATAAAACACAGGAAAAATACATTGAGCTTAAGTCAGTTGAAGCCAATTGAATGTGTTTGGAGTCCAAGGAAGTGAAATAAGATGGAGTTCTGAATGGCACAATCATTAGAGTTCATAACAGATGTAGCGTTGTATGAATTGAGAATGAATTGTTCATTTGAGTCTGATCCAGTTCGCAAATTCTGAATGATTTAGTCATGAATCAGATATTGTGCCTTTGTCGAGTTCAACTAACTATGAACCGTTTGCAGCTGTTAACACTAAATACCTGAATAGATTGAGTTTAACACAAAACTATGGCAAGACTGCAGGAAACTTTATATACATATTCTTTACAAACCATTAGAACTAAAATCAGGATGATTTTGCATGCTTTGTCCTCATTCATTGTAATTGGATAGAAGACACAAAGAAAAATGTCTTCACAGGAAAAATACATTGAGCTTAAGTCAGTTGAAGCCAATTGAATGTGTTTGGAGTCCAAGGAAGTGAAATAAGATGGAGTTCTGAATGGCACAATCATTAGAGTTCATAACAGATGTAGCGTTGTATGAATTGAGAATGAATTGTTCATTTGAGTCTGATCCAGTTCGCAAATTCTGAATGATTTAGTCATGAATCAGATATTGTGCCTTTGTCGAGTTCAACTAACTATGAACCGTTTGCAGCTGTTAACACTAAATACCTGAATAGATTGAGTTTAACACAAAACTATGGCAAGACTGCAGGAAACTTTATATACATATTCTTTACAAACCATTAGAACTAAAATCAGGATGATTTTGCATGCTTTGTCCTCATTCATTGTAATTGGATAGAAGACACCAATCAGCACAAAAATGTCTTTGTGTCCCATGGAAGAAGGGCGAAAGAAGTATATAAATGATATTTGGGTCAGCTATTCTTTTGTCCTTCATGTTCAAGTGCAATATTTTCTTGAGAAAAAGCGTCTAGGAATTAACAGCCAATAATGACAAGGTCAAGTATATTAGCCCTGAGTGTAATCCTTGTGGAGGACGTTCATTCTATACGAATGGAATGACGAGCATTCTGACAGTCCGAGTGCACTTTAAATACAGTAGCAGAATTTCACTGAGCATCGTCACAACACCAGCAACCTTTCCAAAAATCTACAAAAACAAACAAACAAAAAAGCAACTTAAAAATACTAGAAAAATAATAAATAATAAAAAATTAAAATAAAAACATAAGGAGAACAAAATAAAAGAAATCAAAGAAAAAAATAAATAAATATTGAAATATGTACAAACAAAGAATACAAAAACTACAAAATAATCTATTTTGGACAGAAGCCTACTACTTTTCGCAACCAACTTTCCAATTCAGGAGATAAAGAAGAACTTCTTACGCTGCTGCAGCAAGTTTGTGTTTTATCTGCAGGCTCTTGTTGCTGATCTGGTTTAATGGAGAAAAGAGGAGCCTGGAAAGGATTCGACCGTGCCAGCGGTGTTATGGGGGTTGGGAACATTTTCACCAGGGTTTACTGCGAAAACAGACAGGTGACAATTAAAGGGGTCATATGGTGCTGCTAAAAATAACATTATTTTGTGTATTTGGTGTAATGAAATGTGTTTATGCGGTTTAAAGTTCAAAAAACACATTAGCAAATCTTCCCACATAGTGAGGTAGACATGTGGGGGCATGTTAGAACGAGACGTTTTAGGTAGGTGTGGCTGACTCTTAACTTTTATAAAGAATATCTCTTTGGATTTGAGACTTTAGTCTTTGCAACTTTACAGATCTTCTTTATGCACCAAGAGCTTGTAACACTCCAAAGAGAAAGGAAAAAATGAAATCACATCATATGACCCCTTTAAAATCAAACGAAAGTACATTGCTGAGAAATAGCATGTCTCTTTCATTCAAGTTTTTCAGAAATTCATATTGAAAGTAGTGCACTCACTTGACGGTTGTAAAGAAACGGCGCCTCCTGGGTGCATCAGCGGCAGGCGAATCCAAGTCCTCAGTGACCTTCCGTGACGTCATCGCACTGAGTGAACACCAGTCCATTTGAATGAGGAATTATGGGCCACACTAGCATTCATAAAAATAAAAAAAACACACACACACACACCAAATGATCAATTACACCACTCTGTGTATTGAGTTATTGGTGCAAATATGTGTCCAACTAAATTGTAGCAACTGATGGTTGAGTCTCACTGCAAACCTGAGCTCATGGTAGCGTGTGTGAGCTTATTACGCACAGTAATAAGGCTGCTATAAGGCGATTAAACTCAATGAGACTGTCTATTCCTGGATCAGAGCACAGGGCCGTGCACCGTTATAGCCTCCTTACCTATACCAGATCAAAGTGAGGTCAGACTTTCCAGGGTCTCTGTGAAGAACTGCAATGTAGTGCAGTAAACCCGTTCTCTCACCCTTTAGACAACACAATTTAGGTTAAACATATACGGGCACAAAAATAAACCAAACTGAAATTGATAAGGAGGTAAACCGCTTTACTAAACCATATTCTGTCATATACATAAAAAGTACCTGAACCTTCCAAGCTTTACAAGGTGCTGTGGATTTGTGAGGTAATGGAAAATAAATACATATTCAGAATATTGATTCGTAAATGTATCGGTCTTAAAAGCAGAGTAAAGGGCATAATGGCGGGCGTTTTACGCGCCGTCCAATTCTACTAATGTAACATAAGTATAAAGATCTTGCAATGTTTATTAACCCAAATTTTTGTTTTAAAAAGACATTTAAAATTTAATATTGACGATTTACAGAAAACATTTTTCAAAATATTTTTTTTACAACTAGTCTAGTTCTTCTTGCAAACGCGCAATTAATGTTAATGCAAATTGATTGACATTTTATAAAATTACTTGCAACTCCATGATCCCGAATTAATAAAAGTTAAGTGATTAAAATGATAAAAAAATATATATTAAAATGACCTTACATTGCAAAACAGTTTATTGAAAATATTTGTATTTCAACAACATACATAAATACTACAAAGGGCATCAATGTTAAGATGAATAGATACTACATGTGAAAATAAATGCAAAAATATTGTCACAAGTATGTTGTTTACAAAAAAAACAAGTGTATTTAGCTAACTCCTTCAGCACCTCAACTCAGACTCCCATTCATAGACAGCACCAACATTATTCTGTAAAATAAAGTACAAATGAAAAAAGAAAAAACAAACAAACACACTCACTCAACATACAAAGGCAAGAAAAGTCACAGTTTTAAAACCATAACCAGGTTTTATTCCTCTAAACCTGTTCATTTGGAAGAGAGCATGAGTAGACATTTGATGCAAAAGCTCTGGGTTTGTCTTTGTATGAATCTATAAAGATCGCAGGTAAAAGTCCACGGCTGCCGAGTCAACAAAGAGATGCACTGGCTGAGTACGATAAAGAGAGCAAAGAGTGGGGCGATCCGCATGACATTCATTTGCTGGTGCTATCATCTGCTCCGCTCTGCTTGAAGAGTCCAACCTCATCAGTCTCCATGGCCTGGTAGACAAAGAACAGGAATCCAGCGACCGCACTGAGCAGCAGAAGCTGCACCCACACTGGCAGGCTGCGCCGTGCTCTGCTCTTCACAGCAGGGGGCGCCGCAGGCTTGGAAGCGGTTAGAGGGACGGCGGCGGCCACACGTGGAAGGTATCGGGTCTCGGTGTAGGTGGAGGAGGAGCTGGTTTCTCTGAGCTCCTTAAGACCGAGACGGGATTCGTCCAGCCATGTGTCGCTGACCAGGGGCCGGCCAGCTGCTCCTCTGATTGGTCGGCGACAGGTGGCACTAAAAATACATTTGAAAAATAAACTTAATTTTAAGATGGATTCTCTGAAAATAAGTCTTAATATTTTGAAACGGGTTGCTTCAAGGAAATGTAGCTTGTTTTAGAAGATTTCTTTGATATAAACAAGACACACTTTTACAAAAATTATTTTACTTTGTCCATTTTACGCATGTTTGAAAAAAAAAAAACATTTATAGTTGTTTATTTGCAATCTTGCAAAAAAAGAAATAAAAAAAAGATATATATATATATAAAAATAAATAAAATGTGCAAATATCTGAAAAACATGTATCCACCAATTGGAAGCCATGTGATGTGGCGAATAGGCAGACAACAAAAGAAATCTCTCAAAATATAAAATTATATTGATATTTCAGAATATCAGTTTGGTTTGGGTTAAATGTAATAAAAAAAAAGTCATGTGGCATGACTCCAAAAACCCTAATGATATTTATGAATCAAATTATATTTGTATAAATAATAATAATAACAATAATAATGAAAAATAAAACTTTTTACCTTAAATAGTAATACATTTAGCAAAATAATGATTGAGATTATTTATTAATTGTACACTCACATATATTCAAGGCCTAAGGAGAATAGGTTATTACTTTTTACTTTGTTTCACCATTTGATACTTTATAATCAAATGCATCATTTCTTTAAAATTGTATAGCTTTTTAGGGGGAGTTTTAAACCAGATTTTTAAAGACTTGGACACCCTTATTAGTGTTCGACCCTAATACATAAGGCTCCGGTGTTTGATCAGTGTGAATGCTAGAAACCTCTTTCCTCCATACCTGATTCCAGTAGGGGTGTTGAGGTTTTCAGTGGGAAAGATCTCTTTAAGCACATCTCTCTCTACCATCCTCGGGGTCTGATCAATAGCCGACACCTTTTCAACCTGCGCACAAAGACAGAACCACAAAGCCGTGAACACTGGGGCAGGGTATAGCACCACCACAAGTGTTGCGATATTGAAAATCCATTTTGACACCTTTCACTTTAAAAACAAAATAAAGAAAGGTGTTATATAACACCACAGTCGTGCTTAATCGAAGTGACTCTTGAATCCCACATTTCCTCATCATCTTTACACACCTGTGGAGCCAAACCCCATACAGCTCATGAAATTACCGTTGCTAACTTTGGCGTCTCCGTCTGGCTGCTATCAAATCCTCGGACAGAAGTGATTTGGTAAAAGAAAGAGGTGATTTTGGACCGTCTAGTCTTGGGCTCAGTCTTTGGTGAGCCAAAGCTCTCCTGATAAACCAACAACGTAAATTACAATTGCATTGTAACCTATTACCATGTCCAAAACAAATATCCAACAATGAATCAACTGCAAACCTGGGAAATGTCATACGAGACAGGAAGAGAGTCCTCTGAAGCCGTACGGGATGCAGAATCCCTAAAAGAAATTGAGTGTGATGGGAAAACCTCTCTTTGGCCATCACAGGAAGGTGAAAGACGGCTCATCATGTCTATCAAGGGTTTGGAAGGTTTGGTTGGACTCAAATGAGGCTTTGAAAGCTTAGATACAGTGACAGATTTGACATCCTGTGCCTTCAGAGAAGAAACAGAACCTCATGAGCTACTAAAATGAATGTTTCAAACGGGTATGGATTGCCGCGAGATCATGAACATTTCAATTAAGATCCTTTATGTTGCACAAATATGCATTTTGAGGCCGACTAGATGGACAAAAGTACAAAATGGTGATTTAGAGCTAAAAACAATCACTAAAGATGGACACATGTGTATCATCACCTCAACACAAGCAGTGTTAAGCAGGGAAACTTGCGGCTCTCGATTGGATACTCTAACTGGAGGAGAAGTGATTTCAGCAGCATTCTCATCAAACTACAGAGAAGAGTGACACAAAAAACAATTACCGACTCTATTAAACATGACGCTTTCATTCTCAAGTTGAAAGACATGGAAGATTTATAGAAGGTTGGCACCTTGTCAATGGGAGTGGTGCTATGTAAACCAGATACAGTTGACTGGTAAGGAGAGTTGTGATGTTTTAGTGATTCTGACCAATCAGTCGCAGACATAGAGGAGCGCTTTGAGGGTTTGGGATCCTTTGGTTCTGCCTTTAATGACACCATAAGAAACACTGTGGCACTAGCTCATATTCATGTGTGAGGTTTCTTCTGGACCTACCAAAGATTGTGCTTTCATCCTCACCAGAGAAATAGAGACCTCCTTCACTACCGAGGGCTCAGAAAAATCCTATGAGACATGATTTCCAAACAAACAAATGAGAGAATTTGTTGAGAAATTGTCGTTCCAAACCTATATAAATTTTTCTTCTGTTGAACACAAAAGATGATATTTTGAAGCATGTTGGTAACCAAATGCTGGTAGCCATTGACTTCCATTGTATTTTTTCCATACTATGGAAGTTAATGGCTTCCAGCAACTCTTTGGTTACCAAAATTATTTTGCGTTCAACAGAAGACACTCACACACACAGGTTTGGAATAGCTTGAGGGTGAGTAAATGATCAAAAAATCTTTCAATGAAGATTGAGAACTTCAATCGTTTTGCCTTTCATGTCAAACTGAAGTCTCAGACGAGTTTTTTTAAAGGGGTCCTATTATGCTCTTTTACAAAGTCTTGATTTTGTTTTGGGCTTTCAAAACCCAAAAAAAAGAGGTTGGGGCACGGAGGTGAAAAAAAAACAGCGTTTCAGGCGGTCGCACACCGGACGAGAAGCGCAGCGTCGCGCCACGGCTTTAAAATTCAAATACATTCTTTTTTATGAGTGCAGCACACCGGCGGCGTCTGTTCGCGGCACCCAGCTACGTCGTGTTATATTTGTAAGAATTGTTCTAGACCAGCGGTTTTTGATTTTTAACTTGTTTCTTATTCTGTTGTTAAGCTTCTAAAATATAATTTAAGAATTTGACAAAAGATGACATACTTTTAATAAAGTTAGAGGAGTCAAATATTACCTCGTAATGGGAAGGCTACTTTTTGATAACATTTTGGATTATTGATTAGAAGGTGCTCCTAAAATTTTGAACGTGCTCCTAAATTTTTTAAGTTAGGAGCACAAGTGCTCCTAAAAAGAAAAGTAAGCGTCGAGCCCTGTCCCTACTCCCTGAGCAGGGGAAATCCATTGGAGTTTACTTCACTTCGGAATATTCATTTACAGATTTGCGCTGCGCCAGCGTCTTCACACACAGACGAAACTTACTAGAGAAGCGTGAAGTGGGACATAATATACCTCTGTAAATAAATACAATTTAAATTCACGTATCGCACACTTAAATGCCCTTTGTATGGAACATATATACGCTCCCTTCAAACTGGAATCATGGAGGAATATCCGGTGATGTCCACTTTGCAGGGCACTTACAGTCAAATATAACAAATGTATGAAGCAATAAGGGAAACACACAAAATGTACAGAGTGGGGGTACGCGAGGACTGGAAATGAGAACCGCTGTTCTAGACATGCCAAAAATGTGAGGCTACAGCACAGCAGCAGCACTTCTTCTTCGTCGTCTCGTCTCATGCGCTCACTCAACCAAGCGTTCTAACCACGACTTCACCCCTCCCCACCCCCCAACCATTCAAATCTCTGTAGGAGGGAATTATTTGTAATGAAATTCTAATGAGCTGCTTTTTGATATCACAAAGCCCGGAAACCAAACGCTGTAGTCCAAACGAGCCATTCATTGTAGTTCTTGAAAAGGGATTTAAAAAAAACTAAATATCTCCCTTTGGAGTGGACTTTGAGATTTGTAACTTTCTAGATCTTTTTTATGCCCAAACATACACACTACACACTGACTAAAATTACAAAAGTGAAAAGGCATAATAGGACCCCTTTAAGCAGAATGACACCTTATCAGTGACAGGAGCCTCATTCAAATCAGGCCGAAATGAGCGGACTGGTGCACTGCGTCGTCTCAGAGATTCAGTCTTGGATGAGAGCTTTGACATCCTGTCTATGAGTAAAGGTCGGGGCTCTTTTCTTGCTGCCTTTAATGTAAGGATAAAAGCATGATCAGGATAATAATTTAGGCAGTTGACACTATGCTAGAGTCATGGCCACCTACCACAAGTCCTGTTCTTCTCTTGTCTTGAGAAACAGAGAAGTATTCTGCTGATGAGAGCTCAGAGTTCTCCTGAAAACACCACACATGCATACAAACCTTGCTTACCATTGAGTAACAAAGTATATTATAGCCTTGGCTCATTTGTGAAACAAATATGAGTTCAACCAAACCCTGACCACCCGTGTGCAAACCCAAATGTGTTTTTTAACTTTAATCACCACACCCAGAAACCAGGTGATGCACATTAATATCATAACCACAGCTTATGTTACAGCGTCGTCGCTTGCAGGAACCATCTGATCCAGCCTGTGAGAAGATCTCTTCAACTTTCTCTTAATGTTCAAAACTTCCTCCTCCTTATCTTCATCCTCCTACACATCACACAACAAAAGGTCTAGAACTTTCCATACATGAGTATGGAGCTTATCTGATATTGCCAGCAGGTATGACAACATTCAAATATAGAGCAGTCACGTGACCACCTGCAGTAGGTCAAATCTCTTCTACACAAGGTGGTGCTACTGAACCCCGAACAGATAATGCTGGGAAAATATGCAGGTGGGGACGTCACATGGGAAAATAAATTGCAACGGTTTGTATTAGAGACAAAAGAACAGTTTTTGTTTATTATTATTATTATTATTTTTAAAGAGTAAAGGGCGACAGGATACAACGATTGTACTGCCTTGAACAGCTTGACCAAATCAAGATCCTCTGAAAGTAAGAAGTCTTTGATGAGAGAATTCTCTTGGCTATTTGTTTACAATTGACCCGAACAAGTCTACATAGAGATGCAAAACTGAGTAAAGTCACACAGGAATGGGAAAGCCAAGCGTGTCTGGAGGAAGCGAGGGAATAAGAAGATAAAAGAGGATTAAGTCTGGGCCAAGTTGAAGCTAAAGTGAAAAAGGGAAGGGATATGAGACAGTGGGAGTGCTAGCTGTTATTGACATCATCTGAAAATATCTTCATTCTGCAGATTTTGCTTCATTTGCCACATACTAATAACTTTGGCCTGGCTGATTAATTTGCGGATATTAGACAATCAGCCTTAAACTAACTGTACTCGCTTAACAGAAGCTGTAGTTTGCCTCTGTGTCAATTTTAAAAACAAACCACCAGACTCATCAGTTGATTGAAACTAATTAGCTTTCATATATTTACGTGAATGTTGAACAAATATTGTGCAAAGTGACAGGAATTGGACTATTTCTGTGCACTGATATTCACAAATCATTTTACTCCTGTAATGAGATGCATTTCTGAACGAATTTCATTTTTAAATTGTGAAAAGTAGCCATTACATTCCAGAATTAAGCCCAACTAAATTAAATTTAAATCAATGCTGGAAAAGTCATTCAGAGGAAAAACTGGAAGGAATTATACCTTCATTTAATATTACAAATAACATTTTAACTTTGTTTTGGAATAATGTGCAATGACGAAATGTTCGCAGTAAGACTGTGTAAAAGTAAATACAATTTTGATTCCATATGGAGTTGATTCATATATTTAACACTGGCGTTCAAAAGTTTAGGGTTGTTCTTTTTTTTTTTAAATTATATATATATATATATATATATATATATTTTTGTTTTTTTATTAAATTTTTTTTTTTGAAAGAAGCCTCTATTTATTTGATCAAAAATACAGTAATATTTTGAAATATTATTACAATTTTGTGTGTAATGTTTAAAAACATTTTAAAATGGAATTTATTCCTGTGATGGAAAAGCTAAAATTTCAGCAGTCATTACAACAATCTTGTATATGAACAGTAGTGTATATCTGCCACCTGGCTCCCGAGATATCGACATAGCTCAACCACCACTAGACACAACAGCACATTTCCTTTGTTGCAGGTAAACGGATTAAACAATTTGATTTAACTGAGATGCATTTTTGGCAGATGTACAAAAGAAGCAAACAAGGAAAGGAAAAGCACAAGCAAGCACAATGCACAGGTTTCCTCCTCACCCTGTTGTGCTGGCCACTGCGTGTTCTGCTAGTCACTGGCGCTTTCCCTCTGCTCCTGATTGGTCTCTCCACAACTGGAATCGACTCTGCCTCTACATCCGGTTCAGGTTCGGGAACAAACTCAGGGGCTGGAGCTACTGTTTCTGACAAACAATCAAAAGAGCATTTTTTGAACATGTATTTCTATAAGTATGTGCCTAAATAAAGGGATCCGTTTGTCCATTACCTTCCTCCTTGTCGCTGTACTGGTCTGAGTCCGTGTTGCCATTCTGGCTGACGTCTGTCTGCGATGTCTCTGAGGGAGGGGCCACAGTCTCAGGAGGACCTTGATCCAACAGCTTCTGAAGCCTCTTCTCGTAGAACTTCCGAGTGGATGCTGATGTGATGAAGACATTGGTTAATGTCAGTGTCAAATCAGTAAATTTCTTCTGATCATGACACAATATTTCTGAAATATATTATTTGGTTTAGAATCTGATTCAGATCAAAATCGCTTTGGCATCATCAAAGGGTTCGGTCCTATTCATAACAAGCAGTAAGAAAGTCTGCTGCATTATCAGAGGAGCTTTCCAACATCCATTTAAGGACATTATGACTATTCAGGCCAGAGATGGATAAACATGCAAAGCTGCATGCTTGGCTAAACTGCTGATTTACTGATAGTCTTGCACAATACCACAAGACAGCTGGATTGTTCCAGAAGCGAAAACATTTTTGGGTGGTTGTTTTGCAATGTGACATTTTGTGTGTATATTACATGTTATATTTATGAGTTTTTTTGGGGGAGGGGTATTTCAATAGGTGTGGTTCACACACATACATTATCTAATTTCTACCAGCATTTGACAACCAGAAGAAGTCAAACTACATAATCTCTTGATAAAACAATACATATACAGTCAATGGAGTATTGCTTAAAGGAACACGCCACTATTTTTGAAAATAGGCTAATTTTTCAACTCCCCTACAGTTAAACAGTTGAGTTTTACCGTTTTCGAATCCATTCAGCCGATCTCCGGGTCTGGCGGTAGCACTTTTAGTTGCAGCAAAAAGTTAACGGTAACGAAAACGGTAAAACTCAACTGTTTAACTCTAGGGGAGTTGGAAAATTAGAAAATTCTCAAAAATAGTGGCGTGTTCCTTTAAGTCTCCTAGTACTTTTTGGTGGCCCACTGTTGAAACGTTACAATATCTGCAAGTATTTACACTTCATGGTGAGTTTTAATCTCAAAAACGGCTCACCAACAATGGGTCCAGCATTTAGGCCATACTTCAGTAACAGGTCCTTCAAAGCCTCGTTGCTCAAATCAATGACATCAACATCCTCTGGACGAACTTTGTCAGTTTTCCTGGTGGCTTTCTGTGAAGAAAAGTCACATTAGCTTTACAAAGTGAATATAGTAGTTTAGTATTCACATGCACTTTGCAAAGCTGTAGTGTTGTATGTTAAAATGACATCATGGTAAAGTATTTGAACTTGTTAAAGCAACAGGTATCTAAACATGCCTGACAAGCTCCTGATTACACACTGGAACAAGACACGAGAGAATAATATAGTGCCCTGCCTGCTCCGAAGTTAGTTTTCAAAGGAAAATACGAGTACATTCTTTACATCCCATCAGCCCTATATACACACACACACTATTACTTATATGAGAAACAGCTGGGTGGAGTTTAAAGGGGTCCTATTATGCTTTTTCACTTTTTCAACTTTAGTTAGTCTGTAATGTTGCTGTTTGAAAGCATAAAAAAGATTTGCAAAGTTACAAAGCTCAAAGTCCAATTCAAAAGGAGATACTTTATTTAACAGAAAATCGCTTTTCAAAAACTACAACGAACAACTCGTTTGGACTACAACACATTTTTTTCCGGGATTTGTGACATCATAAATATCGACGAATGGGACGAGACCTGGTTGAGCTGCACTAGAGAAGGCAACGAGTGTTATCACGGTGTCAGAGACACACTTTCCCAAGGCAGGCGAACTTAGAGTGGTTACAATCATCCGGGTTTAAATTGATTTGATTTTGATGCAATATTTACACTGAAGCTCGCAGGCGGCTATGGTAAGGGGCATGACATTTCCCGACCAGGCGCCGAGTGGAGCCAATCACAACACACACTGGCTACACACAACACACACTGTTTTTCAAACAACCTAGTATGAGAGCCTAATAGGACCCTTTTAAAAACAAGCCCTATGAAGAAAACATGTGCCTAGCATGTCACTGCAGGAGCAAATGTTTATTTGGATAAACCAATGAAGTTAAATTAGGCAGTGAAATGAAAAATCAATAATGCTTATGCAAAGTGCCACTGAGATAGTGGCATTAGGGACTGGAGGCATTGAGAACACAGACTTTCGGAGTGGGACAAAGCACGAACAATGCAAATCCAGTCACATTCCCTAGAGTCGAGCCCTGCTCCACAAACACAACCATGTGACCAAGGAGAAATGGTGAAAACAGTAAAGTGGTGGAGGAAAGAATGTGTTAGGAGGGGCAGGAGGAGATCGTGAAGGCGCATGAGCTTCAGTTAGGGGCCTTCACAGGGGCTGATCTGGAACGCTGCCTACTCAATAAAAATTCACAAATCACAGCATTCCAGCAGGATGTAGAGAAAAGAAAAAAAAAGAAGAAAAAAACCTTTCCTTAGTCCACAGAAAATAACATCCTCATGCCTATAAAGTTTCTGCCAATGTCAGACTAGGCATGTGAAAAACAGGGTCTGTGGACAAAATGGGTTTGAGGTTTCATAGAGACTCGGACAAACTGAATTTGAATTATGAAAAAAAAACTGACTATTGTAATGCATAACCTAAACACAAATACAAATAGTACATCAGTCATTTTTACACATTTTGAGAACATATTTTAACATTCAATATTAGTGATGCACTGAAATGAATTTACAGAAAATGGGTAAGTGAGTATGGGTAAGCATACGTAGTATGCTTTGAGGATGTTGCATTCTCAAGTGGCAAATTAAACCATTCTTTGTAAATTTCTTCGGCAATGAACCACCTCTCGATATTTCAGATGATTTTTTTGTTTTTTTCAATTTCACTACTGTAGCATCATTTTTGGTCCTCACTACCACCATCCAAAATAAAATTTAGCATCTTGATTCTCAAAAACCAGAGCCACTATATACACAATGCATCATACAGTACATAGAGCAATTTTTTTATTTTGCTTATTTTTCGCCAGTTTGAGCTTTTGCTTTTCTGACATTACTGGATGCAAATTTCAGATCAGCAAGATTTATGGGCCATTGCAGAGCTGGTTTTTCAGTCTGGGAAGTGCCTTTCTATAGAAAGGGTTCCAGATTGAGCACCAGCACCCTGAAAGACCTGAGCCAAGTCCTATGGGTTTACACCAGACCGACCAGCATGCCGTCAGCACACGTGGTTCAGCATAAAAGTCAACTCTCTGGAAATTTGCAATAATGAGGCATGATGTTGTTGGATACCCACAATTTACCCAATTGTGGCTTTTGCATCACAGCTTCTAAACCAGTTTTATTGGAACAAAAAAAGCAGAATCTGGTCAAAACATTTTGAACATAAGATCAGACAACTAAATGGGCCACAATTCATGCAGCTTACAAAAAATAAGAGTGAAGTATGCTATGCATGTCAGTATAAACATGCCAAAGATGTGTCACATCACTCACATGTTTCAGAAATTACTATCTGAGAGACAGCATCTTCAAAGAGGAATGCAAAACACACACACACACACACACACACACACACACACACACATACCTGGCAGCTGAAGCAGAAATTCCTCTTCACAAGAAAGTATTTCCTCAATAAAGGGACCAAACCCACTATGAAAACAGCCTTGTACTGCTCACATTTTATCCTACAACTCCTAGACCTGTAACTTCCTACTCAATCATTTAAGTCAGCGGTTTTCAAAATGGGGTCTGTGGACCCCCAGGGTGCTACAAGAGAGTGCTAGGGGGTGTGCCCGAAGCGTGAATCCGTTAGCAGAAAGGCATGGAAAACAAATAACGTGTTCTACAGAGCCACTAAAGGGACATGGTTAGCAGTTTGCTAGCGGTAGACCATTACATTACAGTACATGAAAGTTCACTCACCACATACACAGAGTAAGGAGAGATGAATGATAGGACAATGGCGAATAATTTGCAGATACTGAGCACCACTGACAAATATCTAAACTTGTAAAATGTGTGGTAGGTACTGCCGCTCTGTAGTATAGAGTCTGTGTGATCACGAATCTCGAAAGTGAAAGCGAAAGTAAAATGAGCGCACATTCGAAAGCGGTTTCAATGCCCTGCATATTAGTAGCGGCTCCCTGATGCCCGCAATTTAGTACAATTACCCAACGATTTAATTTCGAGTAGGGGTCGACCGATTATCGGCCTGGCCGATATTAAGCATTTTATGATTATCGTTATCGGTCATTTTCAAAACCGTTTCACCGATAAAATAACTTAAAGGGGTCATATGCGATTTCAATTTTTACTTTCTCTTTGGAGTGTTACAAGCTCTTGGTGCATAAGAAGATCTGTAAAGTTGCAAAGACTAAAGTTTCAAATCCAAAGAGATATTCTTTATAAAAGTTAAGAGTTAACCACGCCTACCTAAAATGGCTCGTTCTAACACGCCTCCACATATCTATGTCGCTCTGTGGGAAGATTTGCATAACGCTGCCCAAACGTTCACGCAAAGGCAGTGTAACTTTTATTCTTCTTCTTGTATATGGAGAGTGACAGATTTGAATAATTATTCAAGGAGTTTGCAAATGTGATATTGATTTAATACAACAGTTCAATAAACACGTGCTGCCTGATTTTGCTCCATTTCATCAACGAAAATAGTTCCAAATAAAGTAACAGCTCAGCCGCTTCACATCTCTAAAAGCAAACACAGCGGTGTTTCATTCATGAATGAAAGTGCGTTTTTGAACGAATCTAGTGAGTCAGTGATTCTTGATTACCCATTCATAAAGACAGTCACTTGCTTCATTCCTGAATGAATCAGCCGTTCAAACGAATCAATTGAATGAATGATTCAGTGATAAAATCCGTGATTTGCCGCCACCTGCTGGTGGTTTCAGTTTCATTTTTAGGTATAATTGCAGTTATTTAAATTTAATATTTCTGTACTCAATTGCATTTAAAACATTAATCTCCACATGAATTTATGAATTTAATTGCACTCATGCCACCTCTGAGCCTCATTGAATGTCTGAAAATGTACCTACAAGCCACTTTTGTGTTATTTTTGTGCCACCTCTGTAGTACAAATTAATTTTTCATTAATACTAATTTCATGATTGGTAACTTATTTGTCTTATTCTACTTCTTATTATATTGTTTTAAATAGAAATTTTTAAAAGCTTAAACAACTTTTTGAATTTGACAGATGAAAATGATGCCATTGCAAAGGTAAAAAGAAAATGCCCTTGTAAATCACTTCACCTCATATTAGGAAGGCAAATTTTTGATTATTGATCAGAAGGTGCTCCTTAATTTTTTTTAATTAGGAGGACAAGCACTCTTGATTACAAGAAGAAAAACACTGCTCTTAAACTGGGTGTGTGACAGGTATGGCTGAGGAATGGGGTTTGGCCGAGGAAAAATTCAGTCAAAAGATTTTTTTTGCTTTAACCCCTGACTACTACAATAATTATTATATAACTTTAGTTTAAAAGAATAATCACACAATACGCTATTTCTTCCATGTTTTAATTTTAATGGTAAACCCTTTATTTGCCAAAAAAATAAAGAGTTTACTGTGGGAGTACTACACTCAACCAACACCAGGGAAGGCAGTTTTTGTCAGAGCCCTTGTTATTCTTAATTTTGACATTAATTAATTTTTACACCAGACATACATCTCGGTTCAAAATATCGGTTATTGGTCTACTTGATCTGTAATAATCTGTATCGCATCGGCCCTGAAAAACACATATCGATCGACCCCTAATTTCGAGAGAAAGTATTGAAATCTCGTAGGCTATTTATTCCCTTTAGGGGTTCTGTAGTACATTTAATTTTTTTGCAGTGGATTGCGGGGGGTATGGGGGGGGGGGGGGGTCACGATGCCGGCTCAACATCGTGATGTCTGTCAGCCATCGGCGATGGACGATGGCATCGTCATCGGCATACTATAGGCCTAGCGAGTAGAAAAAAAAACATTTTCCATATTTATAATATTAATTTTCGCAGTACAAACTACCTCTTTATACATGACACACACAGAGTAGCTGCCTTTTACATTTTGAAATGAAAATCTGAAAAACTCAGATTTAATGATTTGTTTACCAACTGAACTTTTATACCCGATAAATACGCAGACATGTTTATTATTAAAAACATCTT